TAAAACCGACATATAAGACAACTTTTACGATATCTTTAAAAGTTCTTTAAGAAACATCTTGAATTTGTTTCACAGAGAACACTGAAAAATATCTTAAAATTGTCTTACATCGATTTTATCGGTATATTCGGCAACTTTTAAAAATTAATATCTCGTTAACTATTGCGAAAATTGTAAAATGGTAGAGACCTTTTCGATTCAGTTTTTTTATTAGGAATAACACTATATAATTAGTGGGCGTTATTTAAGAAACACGATGTATATACTTACTTATTAAACAAATGATGTCATAACTTGACAATGCTAGACGATGACTAATATAAATTTAACTATGAGAAATGATAAAAAGTATTTCCGTTTCAAAAACTTTTGTCGTTCATGACCTAAATTCCACACTATAGGTTAGTATTAGTTATATACTATAATTCCGAAAAAGAATTTCCAAATCTGAAAGTAATACAAGCAAACTCAATTTACAAATATTATTGCGATTAATCGAAAGACAGACTACCTTAACATCCCCCTTCCCTAGACATCTCTTATGAATATTTGTTGCAGAAACGTACTTGTATGTACATTCTATTCGCGATAATTTTCTGTCTTTAATTTTATTTTTATGTTAATATCAAAAATTCTAATCACTAATTGACATTTCATATTTACAAAGTTGTGTTAATAAATATTGCCAATGAAAATTATGTTCTAGAAATTTTATTTTAGTTCAATAATAATGGATTCAAATTTTAGTACAATAATAATGAGTCTCAAAATCTTATTTGCACAAAAAATGCTTTATTATATAATACATCAACGGCGGTCTTGCGTATGTATTAATAGATGACGCTGTTGATGGAAAGTGAGATTCAATTAATTGTACTACTATGTAAAGAGGAGCATGAACAAAATTTAAAATTTTTAATCATTTAAAAAAATATATAATTATTATAAGTAGAAATCAAAGCCTTAAACAGTCTAGCTGGATCTTAATTTGATTTCTAGGCTTTGATTTCTATAGTTTGTGTTATCACATATACATATATTATATTATTATAAGTAGAGTTGTATTGATTATTCAATATCACTGTAAGATATGACAGTTAAGTAAATTTAAATTATACACGAACATCAATATTTACATTCCGTCGGAGAACCGTACCTCTGTTTTGGACTTTCTATAAGCAGTTTCTTCAAAAGCGTCTGGTATCGTTTCTATGCCTTCTGTGATTAGTCACGAATATTCCGTAACACAAAACGGTTATAATGGCAGAGCAAGGAGCAACATATTTCCGTGATGTGTTCCCGGTTCGTCGGTGGATACGTAAACATTATACAAAAATACGAGGAAGAAATACGGCGAACTGCAATCATTGTCCGAAACAAATAGCAATTCAACCCATGATTTTTTTATTCAATCACTTGGTACAGGAACATTCAAATGAATTAACAGAAGGAGAAAAGGAAGATAAACTTTTACATTGGTTATGGGATTATTTTACTCTACAAGACACGCGGTATGCGAGATGTAACATATGTGGCAAAAACCTCAAGTGCAATCGTATTGATTACTTACGTCGTCACTTAAAACATATGCACGGGTAAGTACTGTAAAAGTCATCAAAAATAAATATGGAAGAATATAAAATTGGTAGTAATAAATAAATAACATCTAAAAAATGTAATGGTTAAAACAAGTGTTGAACAAGGCATTTTTCGAAATATGTGTACTATACTATGTTTAGTATTCAGAAAGGTACAAATTAGTAACATTCGTATATTTTAACTTTCACATAAAAATAATCAGATCTATATAAGATATGTATTTTCCATATTGCTATGCAAGATCCCATCTCAATATCCAAATGATAAGTTAAAAATTATAAAACAATACCTTTTTGACTGCATAAGAAAATAATATGCATAATATAATTACAACTAACTCCTATCCATTTTTTTATTTTGTCATTCACTCTATATTTAAATGTAGGATATTACCTCCATGTACAGATGATATGGATAATGTAAGTAGCGATGCCAACGCGGAACAGATAGGAGTTCTTGATAAGTAATTATTTATTACACATTTATTATATGTTTATTACGATATAAATAGATTATTTGAATTAAACATCGCGTTTCTTGTATAAATATAAATAATATTAATGGCGAACAAGTAGAAAATAGGAAAAACAATTACGTTAATAAAAAAATAATTAAATGTTCTTTCTAATAAATAACAAAATTTTAGTATTTCATGTTCAGTAATAAAATTGTTGAACCTGAAATATGATATATGGCTATATGCAATATAAGTATCAGGGATAGAAAGTTTTACTTTTTATAATTTATTATAATGACTTGGCAATAACATTACAACTTTTTATAATGGTAACAATAACTAATTAAAAGCTAAGATTGGGAAGGTTACTTTTAAAAAGTAATTTGTCACTACGGATTATTTATTGAAACAAGTAACTTACTATGTTTGTTGTAAC